CTGTAATCCCAGCACTCAGGAGGCTGAGGCAGGGGGATCACTGCAAGTGCAAGGCCTGCCTGAGCTACAAAATGAGCTCAAGGCCAGCCTGAACTGCATAGCGAGACCCTGTCTCGAAAAAGAAAAAAATAAATAAAAAAGGAATTATACTTTTCCAAGTGTGGTGGTACACACCTGTAATCCCAGCATTTGGGAGGCTGAGGCAGAAAGACTACTCGAGTTCAAGGCCAAGATGGCCTACACAGTGAGTTGAAGGCCAGCGTGAACTGCATAGTTGAAGTCGGATGTAAAGAGCAATCTCCCTCGAACTGCCCCCTCCTTCCCCGTAGCTGTACCTTCTTCTTCTGGTACAGATAAGATTGGCAACTGTGTGCTATAAGCAGAGTTTACGTCATCTGGTTCTTGCAGGATTCACAAGACTGGCTTTTTTTTCTGAGGCTAAATTATTAATTGCTTTGTCTTGCTTCTGTACCCTCACTCACCCTGGCCCCCAGTTGCTAAAGACCACCACCCCCCCCGCCCCGCTGGCCAAATGTATACAACTAGAGCCCGTCTTCTGCTCTGGTGCTCAGCCATTCTGGACATCACAAGGTCAAGCTGAGCCGGTGTGCACCTAAAACCCAATAAATCGTTTGTGCCCCCTGGTCTCTCTGATCTCTTGCATTCTGCAACATAGCAAGACCCTGTCTTAAAAAAAAAAATCATGGGGGCTGGGGATTTAGCTCAGCGGCAAAAAGCGCCTGCCTGGCAAGCGCAAGGTCGTGAGTTCGGTTCCTGGTACCAGAGAAAAACCAAAAAAAAAAAAAAAAAAAATCATGCTTTTAAAGCATTTTACTAGGAAAATGATTTTTAGATTGAAATAGAAGCAAAATTGTATCTAGAACTCATTCCAAGTACACGCAAACATGCACAAGTGAATTCAGAAAAAAAAAGACTGAAAGGAAATACACCAAAATCTCCATGTGATGGAAACAATTATTTTATGGCTTATATTTTCCTTATTTTTTTCAAGGAACGCTGTTATGTGACAATGAACAGCGACCTGAATCACAAGCCTGGAAGCAGCACCACCTACAAGCTGGAGAATCAGTCCGCCAGCTCTGTGACCACCTCTCCCCCGGCGTGCCTGCTCCCGCTGCTGCCTGCGTGACTCACTCGCCCTGCTCCCGGGCCCGGCGGTGCTGCGCGCACCACCAAGCGCGTACTTCTGGCCCGGCCTCGCAGGAAGAGAGACCGCCCGCCCGACTCACACAGCATCCCAGGAGAAGGCTATGACATAAAGCACGCCGAGAAGCTGACCGGGATCCGTTTTTAATACTACACCTTTCTATTTAAATCTCATCGAAGTCCTGGACATTCAAAGATTTAGGAAAATGTGACTAACACTCAAGGGAAAAAAAACATTTAATATATCCCATACCTGAAACTCAGACCCAAATGTTGAAATTACAGCACAAACACTTGAAAGCAGCTATTACTACAGGAGGGAAAGATAAAAGAGGTAAGTCCGTGGACCTGAAAAACAATGAACAAAAAAGTGCTATCTGTGAAGAACAGAGAAAAGTTCCTGGAAAAAAAAAGGCTTTGAGGACAAGTGGGAGAACATCAAAAGATCTAACCTTGTCTCACTGGAGTCTCAGAAGGAGAGGAGGGAGAGAAAAATTACTTAAAGAAGCAACGATCAAATACCTCTTAGATTTGGCCAAAGCCTTAAACTTGCAGACTTAGGAGGTTCAAGGAAACACAAACAGGGTAACCCGACAGAAAAGCACATCCAGATACACTCCAAGCACAGCGCCGAAAACCCCTCAAGCACACCGGGGCTCCCGTCAGTGAGGCGACTCGGTGTGGTGACTGACACAGGGGCGGCGCCGCCCCATGCTAATTCTGTGCACATCGCGCGGGAACTGAAGGGAGTCACGCGCTCACCCGGGCTCCCGAGGGCGGGTGCCTGCTCGCACGTGTACGCTGCGCACCACAGAGGATTCTCTCACCTCGGCCACTCGGGAAATGCAAGGGGTTTTTGATGCTTTTGTCCAGAACCAAAAATAACGATCAAATATACACTCCGTATTATCTAACAACATTAGTGACTTTTGCTATGTGTCTGTATATGTGTAGATAGATACACACACGTGTCCCATACATAGGATGTACTTTTTATGATAAAATAGGTAAAATAAAATAAATGAACGTTTTCCAGACTAGGGTACTGCAATGGTCAGAACAGACTCTCAATTACACTAGGTGGCTTCATCAAATTAAATTCTCTTCCATTGGTGCCTTTATGCGCTTTTCTGGCTAAAAGAAAAAACCCGGCCCCCAGGAGTCCACCAAGATGACAGAGGTTTAGCAAATGCTTCCAAGCCACAGAACGTACTTGATGCAATGCTCACCAACCTTTAATCTCTCCAGCAAAAAGCCCTGACACAAAACCGAGGAAAAAGAAAAATCCCACTTCCTTGGCTTCTCTCGGCCCTGTCATCTAAATCCGCACCTCCAATTTGCGAGTTGCTTTGGCTCGGGGCTTTCAGCAGCTTGAGTTTCGCCATTATTCACAGACTGACCTCCCCGCCACACACACGTGGCACCCACCCGAGCGGCGGCAGCCCACGCCCACTTTCTTACGAGTGAAAGCGGCTTCTGCCTTGGATGCCACCGCTGCATCGCAACCGCCCTAAAGCCCGCGACGTCACGCACCCTCACGTGTTCTCTGCTCGCAATTCGTGGCCCAGCTGGGGCGTCTGGGCCGAGGTCGTCACACAGCTCCGTGCAGAGGGAATCTGCCTGCGGCTGAACAGCCGGGACTGCGACGGTTGCTGCTGGCTGGTGCTTCCCGGTCCCTGCCTCACACTGCCTTCCCTGGGAAGCCTGGATCGGCTTCCTTCCAGGTGCGAGCTGGGTCCCGACCCTTATCCAGAGTAGACGTGCTTCTGGGCACCTCTGTCATCGTGGGACCGTCAGAGTGTACTTACACAAGCCCAGATGACACAGCTACTGCACACCGGCTGGAAGGCCGAAACGGTCACGTGTGCAGTCCGCCGCTGACTGAAACGTCCCTGGGCAGCTTATGACTGTATTGAAGTTTAAATGAATTAAAATCACATAAAATTTAAAACTCGGCTCCACAGTCGCAGTGGCCACATTTCAAGAGTTCAGTAGCAACCTCTAGTGAGCGGCCGTCTTGGCTGCATCGTCAGATCCGAGGTACACGGTTAGGACCCTGCCTCGTGCAGCTCTGATACTGAGCGTTCCCCTCAGGGAAGAAAGCCCTGAGGACAGAGCTGGAGCCGGCCTGGCTGCAGCTTCTGTGGTGATCACCATCAACGCGGCACTCCGCTGCCGCTTCCCAGCTTCAGAATTTTGACTCCGGTCTCCAGGTTCCCAAGGGAAGGATGCTCCCGGCACACTCCAGGGAAACCTGTACTGACAGACAATCTGTGGCCTTTGTGTACCTCTGAGGTCGGCTCTAGTTACAGGCTCCTTTCAAGGCAGAGGTAGTGTCTCCCCCAATGGAGAAGACAGATTTGTTTCCTGGTCAGAATAATAAAGATTAACGTCTCCCAGCCGAAGGTTGGACAGGTTTACAACAGCCCTCCTAGAAGACGGGGGCTTACTGAAACCCTCAGGGCTCCTCCACCGTGACATAAATGCACTGTGCACCCAACAGCTCCTGGAGCCCACATCCACTCCACCTCCCTGGCACCTGACGGGCAAAGAAGCCAACATGAACGTGAAGATCAGGTGCCGGTGCGTTCTGTCTCTAACGTATAAGCTCTGCGCTGCGCTGACGTCCGTGAATCTCTGCAGGCCAACCTGTGAGCTTTCAGCCAGGGCAGAATCACAGAGCCTCAGACCCTCCGCAGTCCTTGGCAGCTGCTACCATCACGCAGCTCCCTGCAGCTCCTGATGCTGCAGAGCCCGCCACGTAAACCGACGTCGGTGCTGGCTGGAGCTCCTGATCCCGATCACCAGGAAGCAGGGCTGCTGCTATGCAACGAAAACAAGAAACGTGTGGAAGCCAGGGCTGTCCGGGCATCTTAGGACCCTTGGTAGAGCAGTGAAGGAGAAGGTTAAGGAGGGGCCGCTACTGGCTGAGGCTCTTGACTGAAAGACAGCATGATACGAAGGACTGAGGAACTGATAGAGCACGAGGAGCACAGCCTGCCGAGTAGAAAAAGGAAGTTATACATAAAACTATGGCCAGGCAACCAGGTGCAAGCAGACAACTGCTGTATCTAAGCATGTTTTCCTACATATTTATGCATATGTATGTATGTTTATGTGTATCTGTGTATGTATGTATTCCCCCGCTTTGCCAACTAGCCAGTTAAGATGCAAGATTCAAAGACACTTAAAGGGTGGGCATGGTAGCACATGCCTGTAGCCCCAAGGGCAGTCTGGGCTACATAGTGAGTTCAAGGCCAGCTTGAACTACACAGGAAACCCTATCTCAAAAACAAACAAACAAACAAACACAAAGGAAGGGAGTATAAGGAATACCTGTGCAAGAAATACTTGCAACTTGTTAGGCAGAAGCAAATGCCCTGTTGACTGAAAACATACATACAGGTGGAATGGTGGGGAGATGCCGAGCACCAAAGCGATAGGCGGTGCTAGGTATTCTCTGTTCATGAGCTCACGCCTGACCTTCTACGCAAGGGCGAGAAACCCACACACCGTATTTCTCAGACAGCCTTGTCTAAAAGGTTCCAATTTAGACTCCACCAATGAGAGGCACTTATGCAGTTTGGAAGGCAAAAAATGAGAAAGTACTACTCCCTTCTGGAAGCAGGTATAAGACATGGGTCCATACAGGAGTGTGAGGAAGATGAGAAACACTCACTGTAATGCCGCCAACCACTCAGATCACTCAAAGCAGTGTCCCTGAGTCCGGGCCTTTTGATTTCCTCCAAGTCAGAAGCAACTAGCCCTAGGCCAGCGGTGGCACACTTGCCACAGCGGGCTGTCGGTGTCACTGAAAGCTCTAGAATACTCACCACCACCACCCCGGGCTTGTTGATCGTTTTGTAAGCATGTACTTCATCCAGCTTATGATCTCCACAGTCCTGCCATAAATTACAGACAGATTGTAGGTTCCAAACAGACACAGGGTCTCAAAACAGGAGATGCATCTTCTGTGGCATCCCGTCACGGGCCCCAGGCACGAGATGGGGAAGTATTCCAACTCCACAATGTATACATGAGACTCCGTACACGCACACCGCATCCGATGTTTTCATTTTCCCTATGGTGGTATAACTGGTTAACTTACTGGCCCTACTTTAATGAGGGTTATTTCCCCTCATTCTCTTATCATAGATATATAAGCCTGGGTTTTTATTACTTCTTATGCAGAAGAACTTGCAATATTTTTTAACTTCCCTTACATTTAAACTTACGCATTAAGAGTAGATGCAAGCAGCTGCTTCGTTATGCCTTGTAAGGTATCAATTGCAGATCATTTTCGCACAGAAATAGATAATATTTAATATAAGTACTTCCTCTTTCTTTTAAATTATAGTTAGGCAAAAACTGATCTGCTTATAAATTATGTATATGATATTATCCTATCTGCAAATTCAGCTTAGCAATAGTGAAGGGGACGCTACAAAATACTAGCTACAAACAGAAAGCACTGACTCTGATGTGATTAAAAATCACTGGACTGGAAAAAAATTACAGAGATGAGAAGTGTTCAAATTAATTAACTTATTAACAAGACACTGGCATACCGCCACCAAGAGAAGTGGAATACAGAAGCTACCAGAGGTGTAATCTGTTGGAATATCCATGCCAATGAACATTAGGATGAAGGCAGAGGAATTGAAATTGTTTTTAAAAGGAAGGGTTTCTCAGATAGCCACAGATAATAGCACGGGGCCCAGAGAGAGGATGGAACCAAGAAGATGCAACAGAGAACTGTGGAGAATGTTTAATATTTTGAAAACCATAGGGGCTAAGAAACAGGCTCTCCATCAGGGAAAGCCGTCAGGGTAGCTGTGACGTACCAAGCGAAAAAGTCAGGTGTGGATTATGGTGACAGGGGCAGGGCCAATGCAGGAGAAAGCTGAAGACACACATTCCCTGCCAAGGACAACAGGGTACAAGAGAAAGGCTGGTCCAAGGCGGGCAGGGATACACTGAACAGGACACACAGGAAGGAAAGAAAAGGCAACACGAGGAGGAGTGTGAACCTTGGACAGAAATGTTTCACCACAGAAATTTAAAAAGCCAAGTATGAGCCAGGCATGGTGGTGCATGCCTATAATCCCAGCACTTGGGAGGCTGAGGCAGGAGGATCGTAAGTTTGAGACCAGCCTGGGTACAAAGTGAGCCCAAGGCCAGCCTGAACTGCATAGTGAGACCCTGTCTCTAAAGAGACCAAAAAAAAAAAAAAAAAAAAAGCCAAGTATGACTGGAGAACAAAGGCTGGCTTATTTAGCATGGTCACACTGAAGGTAATAAAAGCAGTGAGGAGGAGCCCAGCATGGTGGCACACACCTGTAGTCCCAGCACTCAGGAGGCTGAAGCGGGAGGATCACTGCAAGTTCAAAGCCAGCCTATGCTGCACAGTGAGTTCAAGGCCAGCCTAAACTGCACAGCACAACCCTGTCTCAAAAATAATAATAGTAATAGTAATAATAATGATGATAATAACAATAATAGCAGTGAGTATGGAGAACCCCGCCAAAGACAGGACAGGCTGCAGAAAGGTCTAGGACAACAGTGGCGAATATGGCACGTGTGTTGCAGCGGGCTGGTGTGTCACTGAAGGTTCTGAAAGGCTCCCCACCACTGCTCCAGGGGAGAGGCCTGGAGCCCCGTGCACCGAGAGCCCAGTTATCGGAGTCCACAGTACTTCTGCTCCTGCAGACAACGCCACAAACATCAGTGGAGAGTGCGAGGGGTCTGGCTGTGACGTCTGTCACCCCAGTGATCACCAGGACTGATCGGGGTGATCTGGCTGGCTAGGCAGGTGTCCCCATCCTCCCTCACCGCTCCACGTGCGTCCCTCCCAAAACTGTGCTCAGTCAGAGAGGACGGCCACCCCAATGGAAGAGGACTGCTTTCTTAGTCAAGGGCACACAAGGGGCTGCACTGCCCCACTAGAACCTCCGAACAAGCTCCTGAGGGTCACAAACAGCAGGGGAAGAGGTAGATCATGCATCTGATAAGGAACCTTCACCCAGAATGGGGAATTCTTTCAAGCCATTGATAAGACAACCAACATAAAAATAGGCAAAGGATGGGAAGAGACACTTCCCCAGAGAAGATACACAAACATCCAACAGGCAAATGAAAAGATGCTCAACATCACGATCATTGGGGGAAATGCAAGTCAGACCCTTATGAGACACCACTTCAAACCCACTGGGCTAAGTATAATAATTTTTTAAAAGATAGTAACAAATGTTGGCAAGGAAATGGAAAAGTGGAGCCCTCATCACACTGCTGGTGGGGACGTAAAGTGGCGCACCCACTTTGGAAAACCGTTTGGCAGTTCCTCGGACTAAAAAAAATAATACACGCACACACACACTTACCATGACCCAGCAGCTGCGCTCCCGCGTACACACCCAACACAAAAACCCGCACTTGGAATAACATCCAGGGCAGCATTACTCGTAACACCCGAAAAAGGAGGAGCAACCCTAATGTCCACTAACCAATAAAAAGATGAAACAAAATATGATAAATAAACACACACAATATTAGCAGCCATAAAGAGGAAGGAAATGCTGACATACGGTTTACCGCAGACACACTTGAAAACATCACACTAAATGACAGAAACCAGGCACAGAAGGCCGCGCTCTGTAGAATACCATTTGGATGAAATGTCTCAATTAGGCAAACTCGTAGAGACACCAAGTGACTCATGACTCCTTAGGACTGCAGGGGGAAGGGAGAATGGGGTTTGACTCAGGGGTACAAGATTTCTTTTAGAGAGAACAAAAATGTTCTAAAATTATATTCTGGCCACGGTTGTACAACCCTGTGAATATACTGAGAACCCTCCAACAGTGTATCTTAAATGAGTGAACTGTGCAGTGTAAACTGTTCAATAAGAATGTATGAATACAGGGGCTGGGGATTTAGCTCAGCGGCAAAAGCGCCTGCCTGGCAAGCGCAAGGTCGTGAGTTCGGTTCCCGGTACCGGAGAAAAACCAAAAAAAAAAAAAAAAAAGAATGTATCAATACATACAGCAGAAATTCACAGGCTCACTCTAAAAAAGCACAAAGTACTTGAAATAATAGAAACCATTTGGAAATTTTAAAAAAAGAATGCAATGGGGTGTAACTCAGTGGTACTATACTTAACTAGCATGTGTGAGCCCCTGAGTTCAATTCTCAGGACTACAAAAAAAAAGAAAACTGACACTACATAATTTCAGACTTACTACAAAGAGCTAGAGTAATCAAGACAATGTGTATTGGCTTAAAGATAGAAAAATATATACTAGTACACAACTTTAAAAGTCCAGAAATAAGACCTACCCATATACAACAGACCTAGAAGTAATCCAATGGAGAGAGGAAAGTTTTCAAGAAATGGTGCTGAAACAACTGGATATCCATATGACCCTCACCTCATTCAAGATGAATCAAACACCTAAAGGTGAAAGTTAAAACTACATAAAAGCTTCAAAAGAAAATAAAGAATTATGAAAGGGAAAGAAACTGCTCAAAAGGAAAGAATAACTAGGACGCAGGAAAGGAGAAAAGAAAAAAAGAAGGAGGGGAAAAAAATATATATATATACACACACAAGATAGCTAAGATAATTTTATTGGTTTATTGAAAGGAACAGTTAATGCCTACTTGATCAATTTTGCATGCCTATATCTGGTAATCTGAGCAACTACTTTGAAGATAACAATATGGAATATAACAACCATTGTTAATTTCCTGTCATTTTGTTTCGAAATTCTGTATTGTTTTTATTCTTTTTTTAAATCCTCTTTAAAATAAAATTTTAAAAGTTTAAAAAACACAGAGTATCTTTGCAACCTTTGGTTGGCAGCTGATATAACACAAATAGCAAATGATTACAGAAAAAAAGCAGGTAAGTTGGACAGTACCCAGCATCCAAGTTAAAATTTTCAAAAGATACCTTAGGAAATGTTAAGGAAAAGCCACAGGCTACAAGAAATATCCACAGCGCACATTGGCTAAAAGATCCATCTCCACAACACATCAAGAACCTCTAATCAATAACCTAGAGTAAGCCGGGAGTGGTAGCACATGCCTGTAATCCTAGCACTTGGGAGGCTGAGGCAGGAGGATCATTGTGAGTTCAAGACCAGCCTGGGCTACAAAGTGAGTGCAAGGCCAGCCTGTACTGCACAGGGGCACCCTGTCTCTAAAAGACCAAAAAAAAAAAAAACAAAAAAACCAATAATCTAGAGTAAAACAACTTGAACACAATTATAACTAGTATTTCCCAAGTATAAAGGCCAATATACACATGACAAGGTCCTCTTCAACAGCAGCAGCTGCCAGCAAAGGTAAAATAAAATCCCTGTGGCCACCAGTTCTACTCTTGGTATTCACCCAAGGACACCGGAAATACATGCCAAGTTTTTTTTTTTTTTTTTTTTTTTTTTTGGCAATTGTTGCTGTTATTTTATTAGTACGAGTATACTGCAACACTAAACTTGTACTGGTATGCAAACAATTTATTTAAAATAATTTTGTTCAAATTTTGAATCAAACATTGTTTTATTATAATAATGAAATAATTTCTACCTGGAAAACCTGCAAGCACCAAAGAGAGGGTCCATAAAATTCAATAAACAGACTTGAGTATATCCTACACACCCACATCATAATTAGAAAATAGAATATGAATTCTTCCATTTTTTTAATATTTGTTTTAAAGCCGAGTGTGGTGGCACATGCCTGTAATCCCAGCACTGGGGAGGCTGAGGCAGGAAGATCTCTGCAAGTTCAAAACCAGGCTGGGGTACAAAGTGAGCTCACAGCCAGCCTGAACTGCATAAAGAGACCCTGTCTCAAAAAAGAGCCCCCCCAAAAAATTGTTTTAAAAAAGCTAGTGCAAATACCATATTTTACAGTGTAATTACAGAAAAAAGTTCTCCTGTTACAATAAGCTCTATGTATGCACTTAATTTTTTCTTTTCAATAAGGTGCAAAACATCATTTCTTCCCTAGTTCTCCATACTGGCTATGCCAGTCTGACAGTGCCATCAACCCAAGTTCTCGTGTCTACTCTCCCTTGGCCTGTGGCAGGCATATGATTGGAAGTCTGATGGGAATTTTCTGATGTTAAAACATCTAGGGACAAATATTAAGCTGGCTGTGGAGCCCGGACCCCACTGGCTAGAAATGAGAACCCTGTCTTAGCCGAAAGTGATCCCAAATACTGTAAAAGAACGTTCACAGCAGTTTTATTCATAACAGCCGAACACCAAAAAGAAACCAAATGTCTATCAGTAGAGTATAACCATGGCATCTTCACACAATGGGATACCACTGAGCGGACACGGAATAAACATCTGATAGTGCTCCAAACGCAGATACGTCTCAGGAACAGTGTGCTGAGTCAGGAAGCCACTCACAAAACACGACCCATTATCCCACACAGCACTCACGTGAGATCTCAGAAAGGCAGAATCAAGCAGCAACTAGAACAATGGCTGAGCGGGGAGAGAGGCACGACGGGAAATGGGCACAAGTACGTTCACAAGGGTGAGGGAAAGAATTCGTATCTTAATTGGGATGCGGGTTCTACATCCATCCAAACTCACTGAACTCATTTTAAGACATTCAACCAAAATTTGTGCATTTTATTTAACGTAAATTTTACCTTTACTGGTTAGCTTAATGACTCCACATAATAGTCATAAAAACGTCATGCAATAGAAATAACATTTTAATAAAAGCAATAAATACCTTTGTCCACCTGCAAAGCTTCACCCCAGAGTGGCTCCCGATCAACTGGTAACCTGAAGGGAAAAGCCAAACACAAAATTGAACTCACTAAAGCCTCATATCAAATAGTGATAGTAAAATTTACACAGTAATTTTTTTTTTTTTTTTGCTTAAATTATGGCAGTCGACAACTCAGTAGTGGAAAACTGTCATGGTTTTACTCACCAGGATAAGAAACAATTTCAACTGTGTATGTATACAGTGACATGTATATTCACATATATTCACTGCTTCCAAAGAAAAGATGAATTAACGTTAACTCTTACAGGAAGGTTTTAACCTCTCAGTATCTAACATATCTCACAGGCTAAAACTCAGAGCAGCTCTAAAAGATCTCAGCACTCTGTGAAGCAACCCTGACCAAGAATACTAGAGCGCTGCAGAATACTCACTATGTAGAGTACTCTACATAGTGTAAGACTCACTATGTAGAATTACACTCACTAAGTGTAAGACTCACTATGTAGAATTACACTCACTAAGTGTAAGACTCACTATGTAGAGTATTCTACATAGTAGAAGACCTGCAAGAGGCTTCTGGGTAAGATGGTGGAACACAAGTATCCTTTGCAGGAACCCTCAAGTGAGACGGGGCAAGAGTTTAAAAGGAGGAACTACATTCTGAGGAGAAGAGAGTAAGAGCTCCAGCAATCAAGGGGGAAAAAAAGTGATAAGCAAGTAAAAAAGCAAGCTGGGTGTGGTGGCAAACTCGCACTCACACCTGTAATCCCAGCCCTCGGGAGGCTGAGGCAGGAGGATCCTTTCGAGTTCAAGACCAGCCTGGGCTACAAAGTGAGCTCAAGGCCAGCCTAAACTGCATAGCGAGACCTTGTCGCAAAAAGACCAAAAAAAAAAGTTAAAAAGCATGAAGAACCTGGCCCATGGCACGCGCCTATAATCCTAGCTTTTGGGAGACTGAGGGAGAAGGATCGCCTAGAGTTTGAGGGCTGCCTGCACTACACAGTGAGTCCCTGTTTCAAAAAAAGAAAAACAAGGAGAAACTGCAAGGCAATGCAGATAAAAGTCGGAAGCATTCTCCATCACCTACAGTGGGGGGATTGGTTCTGCAGGGCAAGGCCAGCCTGGAGAGGGCAGCAGTCACAGTGGTGACAAAGGACGGACAGCCCTCGCCGCAGCAGACACTCATGGTTATTGCAGGCTGTGAAGCCAATGCGGAGGTTCAGTCTGACAGTGGCCCGTCTTGCCCGGCAGGTTCATCCAGGAGAAGAAACCCACATGGCGGCACCAGCCAGATCATGGCGGGTCCAAGCACAAGCCGTCTGGAAAGGGGGCTTATTGTGTGGGACTGAGCTGCTCCAGAGATCTAGTCACAAGACAACCACACTTCGGGGCCTCTGGGGACACCCTGCCACAATGGCTGGGTGGGAAGCAGCCACAAGAGACAGTCATTAAAAATGTCATGGACCATGATCAACTTGGTTGCATTCTAGGAATGCAAGGATGGTTCATCATAAACAAATCAACAACAAATACAGCTTATAAACAGAATCAAGGAAAAGAACCGTACAAGCATCTTCATTTATGTAGAAAAAGCCTTTGACAAAATTTAACATGCCTTCATGATTTTTCCTTCAGTACAAGGGAAAACATCCAACATCCATTACAGAAATGCAAATCAAAACCACACTGAGATTCTCACTCCAGACAGAATGTTGATCATCAAGACACCTCCCAAAAAAGCTACAGTAAATGCTGGTGAGGACATGGGGAAAAAGGACCCCTCTACACTGATGGTAGAAATGTAAATTAGTACAACCACTATGGAAATCAGTATGGAGTTCCTAAAAAACTAAAAAGAGACTACCATATGACCCTCTTAATATCTATCCAAAGGAATTAAGGATCACAAACTACAGGATACCTGAGCTTCCATGTTTACTTCATAATAGCCAACATATGGAACCAGCCCGGATGCCCAGAAACAGATGAATGCACAGCATTAGTCAGTCACAAGGAAGAATGAAATTAGGTCACTCAGGGAAATGTATGGAAATGAAGACCATCGGGATAAGGGAAATGAACCGGACTCAGACAGACAAGTACTGCATGCTTTCTCTACTACATGGAGTCTAACAGAAGAAAGATGACACAGACGCAGAAGAGAAAGTACTACTAGGAAAGAGGAAGGGAATGAGGGACAGAGGGAGAGGGCTTGTGAGGGTAACACCACGGGCAGGATCAAAATGTGAGATGCATGCATGAAAATACCACACCGAAACCTACTATTTTGTCAAATTAACAGCTACTAGTTAAGAATGTATTTTTAAGACAGGTGTGGTAGTGCATGCCTGTAAATCCAGCACTTGGGAGGCTGAGGCAGGAGGAGCACTCTGAGTTCGGCCAGCCTGGGCTACATAGTAAGCTCAAGGCCAGTCTGAACTTAAAAAAAGCAAAGAACAATTTTTAAAAGAAACTGCAGAATAATTTTTAACATGGACCTTGTGCTGGCCATGAAGCAAAAGTAACAGCGTACTTCAAATGAATGCCAGGAAACGCTCATCGGTGATCTTAGAAAAGAAAATGAAGAATCAGATTGGCAAGAGAAGATCCAAACAACAAATTATCGACCCAAAAAAAGGGAAAATCAAATTCTAAGAACTGCAATGTAACGTGAATTCTCAGCACCGCACCACACCCTAACGTTCGAAAACTCTGAGCCACGTAAGACCCAAACACGTGGCAAAAGCTGTGCCAAGATAATCTCATTTCGTTTTTAAATGTTCTGATTTCAGAAAACATTCAATAAAGTTTCTCAGGGGGCTTCACACAGTAAGCCACAGTTATCACAGAGTCTTTTTGTGCAAGACTAATGAGGCAAGCGGAGAAATACAGTGTGGATGGCAGTGTAAGCGGATTAGCGGCTGGTTTTACTGCACATTCACAAAGTGATGATCAAAGAAACAATGTCAGTGCGGATTACAAGTCTCTAGCGGCAACATGCACAGGGCTTTGCCTTTTATCCTCTTCCGCATCTATGTGCACATCTTGCAAAGAAATAAACAAGCACTGCTGATCTACCTGAGGATGGAACTGAGGCCAACACAGGAAGGAACACGCATTTAAAAGGTCACCGGGGCAAATTCTAGGCCTTCCATTGGATTCCTATACTGTTGATATTGCTGGCATAGAAATCCTCATCCACTGGCTTAGGCAAGTCTCGCTCCTGAGACGGTTCTATACAAGTCTGCATCTAGGTGTGGAGCAAAGCCACCCTGCACATGATGGGGCACAGAGGTCCACGGCTGCCGAGATAAGCCAAGAGTACACACGGTGCTTCGCACCAAGACAGTGCCAGGATTTGCTATTCTACCTGAAACACCGAAGAGTGGATAAAAATCCATGAAGCAACAGTTTTCAGGACATGAAACACCAGGCAGCAAAGGACACTGATTCCACACAGATGGGAAACTAGGTGAGTCCCAGCACTGCCAGCTTCCGGTCTTCGAAGCTTCCAAGCCGGAAGCCCAAGTGGGGAGGGGATCCTACAGCAAAGCCCGGCGCACTCACTCTGCTGAGGAAATGGAGCTGAGAATCGGAAAGACCAAGGTGTACAGAGTGTACAGGTCTGAGTAACAGAGAGAAGAAAGCCACCGAAACTCCGCACAGGATTCTTACCAAGCGTTTGTCTGAGTGCTGATCAGCACGTAGGTGCGAGAATAACTACGCTCGTCTCGGAAAGAAGGAGTTCAAAGGGCGAGCGGCGCGCCGGGTGCTCACTGCAGGCTGCGAGTTGTGCCTGTTCCCGCCAGGCGGGACCTCGGGACACACCAAGTTTTGGGGAGAGAACACAGGTGTTTCTGCTTCAGTAACGCAGAATACCCAGCTGTACGAGCTGGCCCTGGTCTCACTTAATCATAAAATGAGTCTCAAGGCTCCAACTAATTCCAAGTAACATATGCATCCCAGAAAATAAGCGCACGACTGTTTACAGGAGTGTTTATACAAAATTATTCAGCAACTTACCAGATAAAGTAAGTTTGGCATCCAGTTACAGATTATCAGGAAAATACGTAAGAAAAAATAATGTGGAAATTAATCCATCCACCAAAATTGAACCAGGAATGACATAGACATAACAGGTGAGGACATAAAATGGTTTTAATTGTATTTCATAGACTCAAAATACTTGAGATATAGCTTTTTGTTTTTCTCTGCTTTTTTTTTCAGAGACAGGTCTCACTATGTAGTTCAGACTCGTCTTGAACTCACTATGTAGCCCAGGCTGGCTCTGAACTCATGGCATCCTCCTGCCTCAGCCTCCTGAGTGCTAGGACTAGAGGAATGTGCCACCAGGCCCAGCAAGACATAGATTTTTTTTTTTAAATCCAAACTGAACTTCTAGAGATGCAAACTAGAACAAAATAGATTAAACATTAGAGAAGTAGAGATGCTGGGTGTGGTGGCTCACAACTGTAATCCCAGCAATCGAGAGGCTGAGACAGGAGGACCATTGCGAGTTTGAGACCAGCCTGGGCTATAAAGTGAGCTCAAAGCCAGCCTGAACTGCATAGCAAGACCCTTTCTCAAAAAGACAAAAAAAAAAAAAGGAAAAAAGAGAGAGAAGTAGAGATCAACAAATTTGAAGATAAGCTGTGAATAAAATTCAAACAGCCAAGTTATTATACACCTCATTATAGGCCCTGAGGAGGAAAGACAGAAAACACATAAAGAAATAACGGCCAAAACTTGTCTAATTGATAAAAACTATAAATCCATGGAACCAAAAAGTTCAACAAAATGCAAGTAAAAGACACATGAAGAAAACTACATTAAGACAAATGACAGGTTTAGTGTCTCTAATTCTAACATCCAAATTCCAAACTGCTCTGAAATCCAAATCCAACATGACGTTCACAATGTTTCAGATTCTGGAGAACTTTGAATTTCAGTTTTTCCAATTAGGGATGGTTAACTGCTAAAATCTACAAAAAATATTACAAACTTCAAAACTCTCCAAGATTTGAAACACGTCTGGTCCCCAATTATTTCAGGTAAGTGATACCCAGCCTGTATAAATAAACTGCTCAAAATCAGTAATTAAGAGAAAAATCTTAAAAGCAGCATGGCAGTCAAAGGGACAAACAACAGGAGATCGAACAGCCAATCTCCTCAGCCGCAATGTGAGCCAGAGGGTGGTAGAGGGACCTCTTCTAAGAACTCAGAAGGAACACTGGCACCTTCTATTCTACATTCCAGAAAAAATAAAAAGATGTCACAAAAATGAAGGCAAAATAATGCCTTTCTCAGACATATGTAGCTTGGGCCGGGGATATAGCTCAGTGGCACAAGTGCCTGCCTGGCAAGCGCAAGGTCCTGATTCGATTCCCAGTACCAAAAAAAAAAAAAAAAAAAAAAAAAAAAGATGTATAGAGCTGAACTAATTCATTACCAATAAACACACACTCCAAAAGCATTAAAAGAAGTTTACCGGAGGAGCAGCTCAGTGGTCCAGTGTGTGCTTAGCTTGTGTGAGCCCCTGGCTTCTATCCCCAGCACCCAAAGAATAAAAATACGAAAACATGATTTCTATTTTTGGGGTTGGGGGGTGTAGACCCGTGACAGAGCAAATGCACAAGGCCCTGGGTTTGATCTCCAGCAGCACCAAAGGATGTTAGATAGAACACAGCGCTACACAAAGGCCATGGAAAGTGGTACCCACTTGAATACACATGTAAGATTCATTGTTTCTTTCTGCTAGAAGTTTGAAATCAGATCTGTCAGTGCCAGGGATCAAACTCAGGGCCTGGCGTATGACAGCCACACACTTTCCGACTGAGCGAGATTCCCCAGGCAAGATTTTTCCTATTTATGTAAACCCCTAAAAGACAACTGGCTGCTTAAATAAAGACAGTATCAAGGTAGCGCAGGATTTGTAACACATGTAAACTAAAATGTATAATAAAAACTGCATGAAGTTTAGACGGGAAAGCGGAGACACACTGCATAAGGTTCCTCTGGTATACACAAAGTGATATATGACAGGTTGGGCATCCCGCATCCTAAGTGTTTCGGAGCAGAAATATTTTGGACTCCAGATCTTCTTTTTCATTTGGGAAGATTTTCATAGATATTCCTTGAGGACAGGAGCCAAGTGTAAACACCAAATTCATGGACGCTTACGCACACATGCGTGACGTCATGTAATTTTCCGAGAGCACTTGCACTTTGCCTTCATCCCGCCACATGTGGGCAGGTGGGAACCCTCCATGGTTTGGTCACATCAGTGCTCATGAAAGTTTGTGATTTTGGATTTCAGGTTTTCAGATTTGGACTAAACCTTTACCACCCAAAGACATACTGTGATGTAATGAAGAGGTGTAACGCAAAACCTCAACCCACCACTACATACCGAAGGTGTTAGACTTACAAGGTCTAAAACAGAATCATAAGAAAAAAATCCAATTAATCTAAAAAAGGACAGCAAAATAAGAAAATGAAGAACAAAAGAAATAGGTAGAAAACAAACAGCATGATAGATTCAAGTCTATCATAAAATCACCTTAATATACTCTACCCTAATTAAAAGGCAAAATATACATAAACATCAGGCTACTAGTTTCTCTGCATTCCAGAAATGTTGCATAAAAAGCCACTCAAAAATACAGGGGGTGTGTCGATCTCCTGACTCAAGTGCACTCTACTCTTTCGTCTACTCAACTCCAACCCCCTAAATAAAGCACGACCCCAAACCCCAGATGTGACCCTCCCTCCAACACTTCGATTAGCTCGGTCCACATAAACTTCTTCCACTTCATAGTCTCCTTAATAAACAGCGACTGGTGGTCAGTAACCCTCCGCATTTTCCATCCGCACACCAGGGCCACGCCGACGCGGACAGTAACAGCCCACACACCAAGGGAAGGGGCGCGTGCAGGTCTACACAGCCAACTCGCACCGACCACAGGGACAGGAGGCTGAACCTTCGGGCAGCTGCACCTGCCACTGCAACACGGCTGACAGGCCACCTGCGGAGACACCTTTCTCCTCTTGACAAGCCCTAGTTTATGCTGCCTCTCTTGTGGCATTAAATTGGAACGCTTGGGGGGCCTGGTGGCACAGACCTAACTAAAATCCCAGCACTATGGGAAGTGAAGCAAAAGGAGCAAAAGTTTGACCCCAGCCTGGGCAGCTTAGCAGACCTGGTCTCAGAAGACACGAAAAGAAAAAAACGGCTGGGGGTGTAGCTCAATGCGAAAGCCCCCCCACCGGGTTCAATTACCAGTCCACAGGGAGAGACAGAGAGAGGGAGGAAGGGAGGAAGGAGGGAAGGAGGGAAGGAGGCTTCGAAGGAAGGAACAAAGAGAGAGAGAAAGAGAAAAAGGGAGTGAGAGAGGGAAAGAGGCAGGAAGACAGGCAGGCAGACAGGGAGAGGGAGAGAGACAGAGACAGAGACAGACAGAGACAGAGACAGAGAGACAAGACAGAGGCAGAACGAAAGGAGAAAGGACGGATGGAGGGGAGGGAAGGAGCGCAAGCAGCAACCAGGCAGCTGGCGGGAGCGCGGCGCGGCGCGACGCACCAGCCCTCCGCGTCTCACCTTGCTTAGTGAGGGCGTCTCGGAGCGCAGGGGTGATCATAGCTCTGCGCTCGCCCTTCCCGCTCTGCCCTGTGCTCCTCAGCAAACGCGTCTTTTCTTCCTGATGATCCTTTTCTCTCTGCATGAAAATAAGCATGAAACCCAAACCGTCAGTGCAATGAAAATAACACCCGACTTGGGGGCGCACCTAGGATTCCTATCAAAGGCGCTGTGGGCCGTCCCATCCTCCACGAAGCAATCGCATTTCTAGCTACACAATGATCATTCTTCACAACACCAGCATAATGAAACACAGACCCACAAAACAGAAATCAACAATGCACTCCCTGGAGGCACACATTTTTAACAACCTGAGCGCAGGCACCGCCTAACTTGGGCAAATTTACTTATTTTCTCTGAATTTTAATTTCCTTACCTGAAAAAAGGAACAAAATGAAAGTGTCTCTGGAGCAGGAATGTGTCGAAAATTAAATGAAATTAACTCACCTGGCACAGTGACTGATCCAATAATACATGTTCAATAAACTCCAGGTACTCCCAGGAATTACTCCTGCGAGCACCACAGACAAGCACAGCCCTGCTCAGAGCGGCCACAGCCACCTGCTCAGACCAAGCTCCCCATCAGCGCCAACTAACGGGCCCCCTATAAGTGGCTCACACGGCTACTCCTAGCACTCTGGAAGGCTGAGGCAGAACAGTGCACGTTCAAGCCCTACTTGAGCAATTAAGTGACCTAACAAGACCTTGTCTCTAAATAAAATTTAAAAATAAAAAAAAGCAGGGGCTGGGGATTTAGCTCAGCGGCAAAGCGCCTGCCTGGCAAGCGCAAGGTCATGAGTTCGGTTCCCGGTACCGGAGAAAAACCAAAAAAAAAAAAAAAAAAGCTGGGCATGCAGCCCCATGTGAAGGTCCCAAGTTCAATCCACAGTTAAAAAAAAAAAAATCCCACAGGGTCAATTCTCTCCAGTGAAAGTAGCATATGCTTAAGAAACCTGGACACTATACAACTGATTGTATTTACTTTTGACTCTGGTGCAGAATCCATCAGCACACTTGGTAACAGTCCCACCTTGCATGATGCTTGTCTTTTAATTGCTCTACTTGGCTTCATTACAAGGTGATCCTCCTCCACCCTTTCCATGATTTCTTCCCTTTGTTTGGTTGTTTTTTTGGTTGTTTGTCTGTTTGGTTTTTTGAGTCCTTATCCCTTTTTTTTAATTGCTTCTTTTTTTGAGACAGGCTCTCACTATGCAGTTCAGGCTGGCCTTGAGCTCACTTTGTAGCCCAGGCTGGTCTCGAACTCACAAGAATCCTCCTGCCTCAGCCTCCCAAGTTCGTGTGCCACCATACCCGGCTTTCCTCCAATGTTTAAGCTCTCTCAACATCTTTATGACAGAAGGCAGCGTATATAACGTCAGAGACAACACCCAAAGTTTGTGTTCTACACGAGAGCAGACGCTAACCAAGTCTTCAGAACTGCACAAATCCAAACTAACGCACCTTGGCAGACGTCCCCCACCAAACCTCAAAGACCCTTGGTTAGTACTGGGGCTTAAACTCAGGGCTTCACACTGAGCTAAATCCCAGTCCCTTATTTTTCTTCTTTATGTTGAGAAAGGGTCTCACTAAGTCACTAAATGGCCCAAGCTGGGCTCAAATTAGTGATCTCCTGCCTCAGCCTCCCGGAGTGCTGCGGTTACAGACATGCACCACCACATCCAGTTTTGTCCATTTTAAATGTCCAACCATGCAGAAGGGATGTAGGGAATGGATCTAGGGAGCATGGCCGAGGGCTGAGGGCTGGCTTCTGAGGCTGGGCTGTTCACACTGGGACTCATGGGTCACTCTGACCACCTTTGTGACTACGCCAAGTTCTCCATACGTGAAATGTAAAACAAGAGTAAGAGTATTAGAAACAGCACACGCACAGAATGTAAGCAGTGAACTTTGGGATTAATTTTTCTATCTTCCCGGTTGTTCGAGGACATTCTCTGAAATAAAGTCAATAAAAAGGCACCAGAGAGTCAAAGGCACCGAATGAGAAATGTAAACTCGTATTAAGTTCTCTCTGTCCTGAAAGGCAGCATCCAGATTACTAAACAGAATCCAAGCGCAGCAAGTGAGTAACTCGCTTCTGCTACATGTGCTTTTAACTACACACGTCCAGATGGAACTGAAAAACTTTATACATAGCAATAATTTGTTCTTATTGATTATAAAAATAATCAAGTTAATGCTATACATTCTCGAGAAATAAAAAGCCTTCAGTTTTTTGGTCTTTGATTTTAGTTTTCTGGTACTGGGGACTGAACCCAGGGCCTTCCTACTGAGCTGCATCCCCAGCCTGTTTTTAATTTTTTTTTTTTTTTAATTTTGAGACAGGGCTTACCAAGTCACTAAGTTACCCAGGCTGGGCTCAAACTTGCCATCCTCCTGCCTCAGCCTCTCAAGAGCGCTGTGATTACAACCATGAGCCACCATATCAGGTATTATTTTACTAAAATGCTTTAAAATAGAAGAAATTCTTTGGCTTTGTAAAAACCATCCATTTCAGCCCTAAGGGCGAAGGTGTGAGCTTGAACATCGAGTCCTGTGGTGGAGGACGGTGAACTCACCCAGCCGAGGGCACCGAAATGCCTGTGAAGTCACTGAGCGGTGAGTTACTGCCCTTCGTCTCCCAGTCATGCAAAAAGCCACAGGAGGCGACAGGGCTGGGCCCAGGAGCCTCGCCACCACGAACCATCGCCACTTTGTTTCTCACCCCGCAGGTCCCATAAGTCCCAAACTGGACCCAGCCCAGACACCAGCCTGCCCAGTGTGCCCGGAGCCCCACAAACCCCCTCTTGTGGGCAACACACAAACACCGATGCCTGGGAAATGAATGCACTCTGTCGATGGCCACGCCACACCAGCTGGGCCCAGCACCGGGGACACGACCCGGTGGGAAGTGTGAGGGCCGCTGACCCACATCCGATCTCAGACGTGTGTGACGGCCCCGAGTTCGAGCACGGGGGGCGGGGACATCCATCGCTCCCCGCTCGCGCGCAGTCTGGCTGTCTCCCGAGAGCAGCAGGAACTCTGCTCTGAAAACAGACAGCCCCAAGGAAGCTGGACGCACCGTCCCCATCCAATCTAGTCTCGGGCGCGGACCTCACGCGGCTCCATCCGGAACAGAACACTGGGCCGAGCACGGCGGGCGCTGCGTGACCTTTCCCCACAGTTAGGCCTGGCAGACGTGAATGAAGGGCCCAGAGGCGGCCAGGCCAGGCTCCTCCCGGTCCTGCGTGCCCCAGCTCGCACAGCGACCTCAGCCCAGGGTGGCGGCGCCCCACACCACGTCCTCTCCGGCCCCAAGGCCGCCCACCCTCCTCCGAGGCCCCGGGTCCCCCTGAGGGGTGACGGCAAGCTAAACGCTGTTCCGGCGTCTGACTGCTACTTACACCCTTCCCGCCCTCCCCAGCGGCCTTGAACCAGGACCGGGTCCTCTCCAAGCTGCAAAAGGAAAGCCGGGTAAGCACCTGGGAAGACGACTACGGGTTAGAGGACAGTGCTCAGCACCTGAACCTGCTGCCATGGGAAGAGAAACCTGGTCAGAGTCTCTGCAACTATCATGCAGTACTGTACTATCGAGCAGTTTAACCTCACGCCGTCGTCCCAGGAACCATGGGACTATCCCACACCTGCCTAGGACGAAAACAAGGCCCAAAAAGTGTCCGTTAAAGACTTTACAGGGAAAACCTCCCCAAGCTGGCTATCTGTCAGGCATGCGTTATTCAACACACAGGCTTTTCACCGCCCGAGCTCCGTGGCGTCGGGAAGAGGGGCTCCCTGGTAGTTTCTCTGACCCTTGCGTGTCATCAGGTCACTGCCCTCCTTAGCGGTCAGACAGAAGACCCTGGATCCAGCACACTCAGCTTCCCCAAGCACTGTTTTTCTCAAGTCAACCTGCCTGGGCCCGGAGCCAGGCCAGCACCGTGTGGGCACTGAATACGTGAATAAATGTCTCCACACTCCCAGACAGCTATTTCTAACCTCCAGTAACTGATTCTAGATCTGGCAACTTTCGATATTAAAAACTCTTTTGCCAAGCATATTAGCACACAGCTGTGTGATCCTAGCCACTGAGGAGGCTGAGGCAGGAGAATAGCCCATGTCAAAGCCAGCTTGGGCAACATAGCAAGATCCAGTCTTAAAATATAAAAATAAATAAATACATACAAAACTCTTCTTCATATGTAAAGTTGTGCTTTAGCCAAAACTCCTGCTACAATTTAATCTCATGTTCTCAGGTTTGTATTTCTTTAATAAAGCCCCAGCCAATCACTCACTGGCCATGGCTCAATTTTTAAATGAACAATTTTCACAACTCAAAGCTTTGTACACATACTAGGTTTTAAGGATGCTTTCTGAACTTGCACAAAAGCAGCCCGACTGCGTGTGTCAAGAGCTGCACTCTGGCACAGCAATTCTATTTTGTACATCTTACTGAAGGAAATAATTTCAGAATGCAGTGCTAAGTGCTCCAGGCTGCACAGGCCGGGGCTGAGTCAAGACGGTTTACAGGCAGCACTCTGGGTAGCAGGCATCTTTCGGCATCTTTCGTTTTGGGTGCATTACACACTCAAAGCCTTAAAACTAGTCATGAAAGTAGCTTCATCTTAACCCACTGCAGCACCAGTGTAACTTTATAAACAGAACTGGCCATGCTTTCCTAATTAAATAGCCACTGAACTGGAAATGTTTCTCTGCTGAGCAGTTACAAAGCATTTGCTATTTGTTTCCAAAATGAATGATGCTGATATCGCTGTGCGTCTGCTCAACCAGAACATGCGTTAGGGAGTGTTCGCCAAAGGCTGCTTAGTACAGAAAGAAAAAGCAGCAGCAGGCTTTACATTTACAAATCACAACAGGGAAACAACTGTCAGGCTCTCCCTGATTCCTTAACCGCTCACAGCTCCCTGTGGGGGCCCCTTCTCCCTTGCGGGACAGACAGGCCAAGGGCTCAGGGAGATGAGGCCCGGCTTGCATGACTTAGCAGCCGGCCAACTGTGAGCACGCCGCTCCCCTGCCCGAAGCCTCCGTTAGCTTAACCGTGAGACAGCAAAACGGCAGTGATAA